GGGGATATAAATTAACGGGACAGGAAACACAGGCAGAGCCTCATTATAGGATGGAGAAACCTCAGAAATGATTACTCCATTCATTTATACATTTGACAGTATAATACTTTGCTGTTTACAAGACAGGATGATTTATTAAAATGAACTAAAAGTATTTTTCTAAAGGCTCTGGGATTTTTAAACCAACCACACTGGTATAAAAATAAGTTTGTCAATGAGTGTTATTTTTATGCATTTTTGTTAACAAACCACTCAGAAAAAGCAAATGAAAACAGAACCAATGACAGAACTAAAAATAACTGAAGTATCACTGTCTGCTCGCTTCAGAAGCATACATGCAGTGTTTTTTTTTTTTTTTTGCTTACAAAGAGCTAAATCTGCTCGATCAATATTTGCCCTCAGTTTGACACTGAGCACTACAGCACCCAGCAGCAGATGACATCACTTCCTGGTGGATCGCCAGGCCTGTCTGGTGTCACCTTGAACACTCCACTAAACGGCATGGAGGAATGGCAATTACTAAATGCTCTGATTCAGGCCTCACTGCCTCATGGTTATTCATTAAATGTCATGGTTGCACAGCTGCTTTCAAAGGGAAACCTGGCATATTCACTGGGCGAAAAATTAGGTTTATGATAGTATTTTAACCACTTTTCAATACAATTAAACCATTTCCTTATATACAAGATTTTTTCCTTAAATTTCAGTCAACTAAAATGAAAGGGTCACAACAGTATAAATGATGTATTACCAAGATACACAGATGTCTTTTTTGAGGCTAAAATGTCATTAATTTTTCAGTGAGAATTTCCCCGTGACCAGTAGGACAGGCTACATGCCAGGTGATGTCATGCCAGGTGATGTCATGCCAGGTGATGTCATGCCAGGTGATGTCATGCCAGGTGATGTCATGCCAGGTGATGTCAACAAAGACATGCCACGCACTGACTGGGCAGGTGGCTTCCTCCAGGAACAAACATGTACCATTCCATTTATTTTTAATGAGACGTTGCAAGCTCATATTAAATATGGATTTTTTTTCTTATTCATACAGGAAAAAAGCAATTTGTGTAAAACGGCATGCCTGTGGAAGTGTGCGTGTGTGTGGTGGGGGGGTCCTGGGTGTGAGGGGGGGAAGCCAACTGCTGTGGAGCAGGTTTCACCTTGATGATCGCAGTGGGGGTGGGGTGGTGTGTGTGTGTGTGGGGGGGGGGGCTTTTTGTCCAAGTAGCCTGCGGAGCGATGAAGGCGAGGGGCAGCTGAGTGCTGGAGACGGTGGGTCGGGACCGGGGAGGGCGGCAGGCGGGCAGAGGCTCAGCCACGCAGTGCTGCCGGCGCTACAGGACCCAGTTTCACTGGACTTTTCGGTGTCAGAACCAGACTCATGAGACTCGTGGATCCGACTGAAAAAAATAAGGCATGGCGTCTCCCAAAAGGCTGGGAATGCTGCTGTCCAAAACTATAGACACAACCGGACAGCATTTACATAAGAAAACTTAATTAGACCTTATTATATTAAATTAAATGTGTATTCAGAATATTAAATATCCATTTGTTTTAATTGCGAAAGGAAAAGGCCAGGCCACTTTTTAAAAAAAATTAAAAATATAAAAAAGGCATGAAATTCATATTGCTTAGCAACTGATAATCTTGAATAGACGTGATTACATTTTAGTATACAGTTCATTATTTTTTTTGAAGCCCCACTCAGAGGCTGCTCTGTGAATGGTCCCCTTCACGTTGTGCCCAGACACGTCCTTCTCTGCAGACGGGCACCGAGGGTGCAGGGGGGAGGGAATGGGTAACGACAGGGCAGGACCCCGGAGCCACATTTAGACGGCAAGGTCAGGGCCCCCCAGGCCTGGTGTTTGCACCAAACCATGCAGACTCCGGGGAGCATGTGCATGCTAACGGCACGGAGCTACCCGGAAGACCGCAGGCATGGCATGCATCGGCGGGGGATGCGGCAGCCACGCATGCGAGAGGAGCCTCGCAGCTCCACTGCTCATTAAAGAGATACGTCTGCTTTGTGTCCCTCCCCCAGCACCAGGCCGGGGGGGGGGGGGGGGGGGGGGGGTGAGGAATTTTGGAATGCAAATTTATACATAAAAGACTCCCCTGTCCCAGTTTCTGCCATGTGAAGGATTGTGTGAAGGAGGAACGTCACACACGTCCTACAGAGCATCTTCAGATGTGCAGATCCCAGCATGTTAACCGCCTCGCAAAAGCATATCAATTATTCATCTCGCGCAAACATGTGCGTAACACACTTTGTCCTATAAATATTACACAAAACACCAACGTCCAACTGCAACACTGTGGCTCAAGGTGAGCATCTTCAAAGCTTTATCAAGCTGGAACCCTCTCTGGGTAGCTTGGCATTAAGGAAAATCTTAATAAAAACACACAGTGAAGAAGGGGGAAGAGATTGGTCTTCCATTCCCAAACAATGTATTATTAACACATCCCATCGGATCAGGCAGAGACAGAGGGTCTCAATTTACATTCTAGAAAACTCACATTTTAAACTATTTTTTTCCCTTGAATACCATAAAAACAATAATTTGCGTTTTTTTTACTTGTGTTACGTAGTGTAAGGATACAAGGGCTCATTTTAAAACTGAGTATTCTAAATTAATGTTGAATATATACTCACAGTATTATGGATCACATATAAGAGAGAGCAAACAATAATGCTTAATGACTTGAATTCAATGCTTTGATTCACGTTAGTTAAAAGCGTGGATTATAAAACACTGACTATTTTCTCACTTTTTTTTGACTGTTCAAACAAAAGCTACGTTTGTACGTATTTTATTCCATTTAAAATATGTCGTTAAGACAATGGATGCCATAACAATAATACTTCCGTACTGAAACGTTAGTCGATGCAGCAAGGCAGCCAGACGTCGTTCTATTTCATTTTCTGCCAAGATCCCTTGAGCAGATTCAGAATCAGTCGATTAGTTCTGCCTGGTTAGACGAACACGCCTGGAACCCACAATTTAACCCCAGATCCAGAGCAGAAGATGCGTGCTGTTTGCTCGGAGTTGCTAATCAGGAGTAAATAAAGCGCTGATGGAGTCCGCAGACGGACAGCAGACAAACACCGTCTGTCCCCCAGTGGCGGACAAAGGGACGAATTGAACCTGCCCGCCTCCATCGACAGGAGGTTCATTATCACCATGAGCGGCCCCGCTTTAAATTAGGCAGAAGCATCGAGTGGCGTTACAGCACGCTTGGGCCAATTCCATCAGAGCCCCCTTTGTCTCCAGGCTCCCCGTGTCCTCGTTAGCATTTCTCCTCCGTGTGTTTAGGGCCCCGTACACCCTGACCACGTTTACACGAGTTAAGAACCAGTTAACTGCATGGTTCTCCCAAAATAACACCCTGTGTGTTTACTCTTCTGTGGAGTGAAGTCAGACGACAGGTCCGGCATGGGGGGGGAAACGTTTACCTGCACATTTGACTCCCTGAGCAATCAGGCCCCACATGAAGTTGGCACAGTATTCACACCAGTGTGGCCCCCGGAACGTGTGGACCTGCAGGGGGCGAAAGGGAGCAGGGAGGAGAAGCGTCCAGGTTAGAGTTGGCAGCCTTGGCAGCTATTGCATATCCTGAGTTTGTAAGTTTGTGAGTGAGCATTGGCATTGTGGGGCATTGTGGGGGG